TTCTTTCCCCATTAAAAATATACAAATTAAGCATTACAGTGGCTGATGATGGAACAAAATAGATAAAAGCCCCCACGGTAGTTTGGCTGTTTGGGTGGATGGGAATAGGTGACCCATAGGGAGAAGGGAGAAAGGCGGGATGGAAAATACAGTGACTGGAAGGGCTTGCAGCTTAACTTCTTCACCAATTCACAGAGGGGCACAAAGGGGTACCTGGATTCTAGAACTACTACAGAGCTACTGCCATATTCCCCTCTTCTCATTCACCAGTAAAAAGAGAAGGTTGGGCTGGAGGATCTTTAGGTCCCTTCCATCCCAGACATGCCACAAATCCATGAACTGAGGAACATCCTCTTTTCCAGACTCTCACGTACCGCCCAAAGAGAAATATACAAGATGGCCACCATTTTGTCAAACTCTGAGCCATTTCCCTTCCTAGTATGATTATGCAGAAGAGATTGAGAATTACCACTGTATTAATGGTTTTCAAAGCAGTGTTCTGAGATGCCCCCAGTCTCAGCATTTCCCGGGAATTCGTCAGCAGTGCAAATTCTCTGGTTCCTTTCCTGACCTACTGAGAGTGAAACCGGGAGGGTAAAACCCAGCAATTTGTGTTTTACCAAGTCCTCTAGGTGATTGTGATGCACCCTGAAGTTTCAAAATCTCTATTCTAGTGAGGCCATTTTGGAGAAAATAATTACTTCTTAGTGGTTTAAAAAATGCATACTATTCCCCACTAGTACTAGCTACAAACAGGTTGAAGTGATTGAGAGTGACAGATTAACGTTTCATTCTGTAAGATTCTGAGGAAATTGAACACAGGACAGACATTGTTGATGGAGGGAGAGGATGAGTAGAGAGGAACAGGTGTCCTAGTTCTCAGTAGGCTTGGATAGGCAGAGAGCTTGGGTGTTTAGAAAGAAGTGTCGGGGTAAGGAAGAATAGCCTAGGGGATTTGGCATCTGAAAGAGCTAGGTTCAAGTCCTACCCCTTGCACCTGTAAACAATGTGATTTGGGGAAATTACTTTTATACTTTTGGCTCCAATACCCTGTACTATTTAATGGGCATGTTATTAATAGCCAATTAGCCTCACAAAATGAACTTATGGATTGATGAAACAGGTATGAAATAAAAGTGCTCATTACTTTTTATATAATTATGTTTATTTCTGAACCACATTCTTCTGGCAACTTCTAAATGTTCCACTATTGAAGAAAGATACATCACATGCAGGGATAGATCAGAAAGTTTTAGCAGTCAAAGTGAAAATGAATTCACCAAGGGAGAAATGGAAATTACAGTCTCAGGTCTCAAGATTATAGGGTAAAGAATACAAAGATTTCTTGGGCATTAGTGGCAACTTGTAATTTCTGTTAAGTGAGAGGGTTACCTTGGATTTCATAGAACTAGAGATTATTCCTCTTCCCAAATCAGCATTGAATAAAGATCCCTAAGCTGGGACATAGCCCTGGGAATTTGCTCAAGATTGTCTTTATTTCACAAAAGGTTCAAAAGATGAGGAGTCACTGACAGCAAGGGAATCTGAACTACATTTTTTCCTTCTCTCTTTATTGAAGAAAAATTTACTATCTAGATAGCTCTCAGTTTCAAACAAAAACCCTTTGAGCATCTTCTCTTTGGTGGAGACACAGTAACAGGCTTAGAAGTGAAGCAGCAAAGGACATCAGTAAAGAAACTTAGAAGCAAGAGACCACATGAAATGATAAAAGACTCCAGTAGAGACTTGTAAAAGCAATGAAGATTCAATACCCAGGAACAGGACAAGAATGTCAAGGCATATTTTCAAAAATAAAAAGTGAATTGCATTTATGCATACTTGATCTAAAAGCATTAGACTCTTAGAGAGATCAAAGGAACGTTGAGGGTGGAGTAGACAATTCATAGCTTTAACTTCCCATTCATTGCAAAAATAAATATTTTTTCGTAACATCTCAAGCAATGCTCATCTTTCCTCTGCTTTGTCATCTTTGATAGAGAGCTGTTACCTCATAAATCACCTGCTATTATAGTCCTGAAGTTTAGGATGGTCTTCATTTTATTAAAGACCATATAGCCTTCTGTAACCCCCAACAGCCAAAGTCCTATTTTTGCCTCCTGGACATCAAGAGAAAGGGCGTTACTTAACCCTTCATACACCTGGCAGCAATTCAGTCTATGAAGACAGCTCAATTATTCTTCCTCACCCTGCTCCCAGGGTAACAATCTAAGTTCTTATCATTTTCTTTTGTGACTTAATTTCTGGCCTTTGCTATGTTGGTTATCTGTCTCTTGATATACTTGAGAATTTTAATTCCCCTTCCAATAAGAAGTGCTCTGAACATAATATCCCAGTTCACCCACATGAGCCATTTGTAGGGTGTTGAAAATACAGATTCCATGGTACTTCACTCAGATATAATGAAACCAAATTGCTTAGAGTAGGATTAGCTATCTGTATTTTAACAAGCTTGCTTCGTGATTCTAATGTGCTCTGAATAAAACATAATACTCCAGTCTGAACGGTTCAGAGTAAGGATGAAAAATATTATTCATCTATTGTTTTACAAGTTGTAATTCATTCTGGTGTTTAGCTTTCCTGACATTATTTTCATCCTATTTTTCCCATTTGTACAAATATTATATAGTAATTAAAAATTGTAATATGACAGAAACACATTATGTAGAGAGTAAAAGTCTTTTGTATTTCTTTCTCTTACCCTAAGAACACCATCGTATACATTTCTAGATTGCTGAATTAAATAATTTATATAGACACACATATACACATGCACATACACACAATACTAAATATCTTGATTTACAACATACTTTACACATAACCATACATCTTTGATTTTTTTCTATCTGAATACTACTTTTATAGGCTTAATGCCACTCTCTGCATTTTCACATTCTATGCATAAGTGGCATTTTTGTTGATTGTTCTCTGACATATCCTCTCATATTTTATTCCTTCCTGAGAATTATCAGAGTTGTGTCAGTATAGATGCATTCATTTTTACTAAAATAACTTATGAATTATTGTTAGAATTTAATGCTTTGGCTCCTCCCCACTATTAATGGTCTATCTGTAGGCTCTTATGTCTTCCTCCCTCTTTCCTTCCTTCTTTTTATGCTTTCTAAAGTCTGGTTTCCTAAGTGTAACATCTCAAGCAATGCTCATCATTCCTCTGCTTTGTAATCTTTGATAGTGTATTGTTAATGCTTTATATATTTTCCTCGGAGAAAGAGGTGATAAAGATGGCAACATTCCCATACTCCCACTTTCTCATGAGTGTTTCTATGTAGATGAAATTTAAGGGAAGAGTAGCTATCGATCTGTTTTGCCTCCTCATCCTTTAGAGAATTTAAATTCAGTAAGGCTAGTGAAAAATGTTTCAGCCGGTCTGCTTCTACCTCGGGTAGACTTCTAGAACATGTCAGAAATAATTAGTCTCTTTTGGCTTTACCGTATCATGCTTCTGCACCCGTTTTTAATAAAAGTGCAGATGACAATGATGGCCCAGAGCCTCTGCCTGACCAAGAGGCCCCTAGTTGCTTCAACTGTTCTATGAGCTGTGATTTCCTAGTGTGTGGTTTCCAAGTTCATCTGCAGGTGAAGATGTTTTCAACCATGTGTATTTCCCTTCTTCACCCCCAGTACATCCGCATTTGAACCAGTTATATTCTTTACTTCCTTAGATATAAGTTCAGTTCTACCTAGTTTTCATGGTATACACAATGTCTTAGGTTTCAGATAGTATCACACTTAAAAACCTTAATCCATGAGAATATTTTTCTTTGTTCCAAGATTTCTGGCTAAAATTTAAAAAGATAGACATGTGATTTGTGCATAGATGTGAAACAACTGTAACTCTCACATACATAATTCTGGTAGAGAGGTTGGCTGATACAACAACTTTGGAAAATTCTTTTGTAGTTTCTTACGAAGTTAAACATATGTCTATCTACCTTAAGTCTCACTCCTAGGACCTTATCCAAGAGAAATGAAAATGTCAATAGACAGTCTTATAAAAGAATGTTTATTTCAACCTAATACATAATGGTCCCAACCTGGAAACAATCCAAATGCTCATCAACAAGAAAGTGGCTGAACAAATTGTGGTCTATTTATAAAATGGAATATTACTCAGCAATAGAAAGCAAAGGACTACTGATAGTCACACAACGTAGATGAACATCAAAACTATATATATGTTAAAAGAAACCAGACACAACATAGTACATTCTATTTGATTTCATTCTTATGAAATCCAAATATAGGCAGAAATAATCTATGATGATAGAAATTAGGTAGTAGTTACAATGGTAGAGATTGACCAGAAGGAGACATAAGGAAATTTCTGAAGAGATAGAAATGTTCCATATTTTATTTTGGCAGGGCGGCTATATAGGGTTTGTAATTGTTACAAATAAGTAAACTGAATGTTTTAGATCTGTGCATTTTATGGTATGTTTAACATATACATATACATCAATTAATCTCTGGAAATCATATATATATATATACTTATATATATATATATGATCCATTTATATATAAAAGTCATATATATCATCCACTTGTATATATAAATCATATATATATAAATATGTATATATATCATCCACTTATATATATAAAGCATATATATATCATCCCTTTTATATACACAATATATAATGTGTATATATATGCAAATATATATATATAATCCACTTATATATGTAAATTATATATATCATCTACTTATTCTCTTAATACCCCATCATTGCATTCCTTATTGAACAAAGCTAATGAAGGGCAGGGTGACCATATAATTCATCATCCAAATTTGGATATATTTGAATATAAGGGAATATTACAATTATAACAGGACAACAGCCATAAACTAGACAAACGGGCACAATTTTATTCCATTTAAGGAGAGGAGGACACAGAAGTTTCAGGTAAGAGTGAATACAACAAAGATAACACTTTTTTTTTCTGTTTTCCAGATTTATCTTATGCATGGACTTTCAATGATAACCCCTTATATGTCCAAGAGGACAACAGACGGTTTGTATCACAAGAGACAGGAAACCTATACATTGCCAAAGTGGAACCATCAGATGTGGGCAACTATACTTGCTTCGTAACAAACAAGGAAGCCCAGAGAAGTGTTCAAGGACCACCCACCCCATTAGTGCAGCGCACTGATGGTAAGATGATAAGGTCTCTTGGGAATATACTTTGTCCATTGCTCTTGAAGCCTGGGGAATTCTCTAGAGCTTTCTGCTGCCCTCTGGTTCAGAGGAGCCACATCATGAGTGAGTGGAGGTTTCATCGGCAAACATGATGAAAATCAGAAATCATAAAAATATATTAGAAAATTCTATAACTCACTCACACGGTACAGTATACATGATTCTGAGTATATTGCACCATCTCTTTGGCATTGGAACAGATACTTTCTTTGCTTAAGGAACATTTTATGTAAACAAAAGTTTGTTTGGAGAAGTAGGCATGTGTGTGTGCACGTGTGGGTGCTGCCAAACTTATTAATCGAATACTATGTTTTCAGTGAGCATATGATGCAGCTTTTCTTTAATGCCTCTTTCTCTTTCATATTCGTCTTTTTGTTCATCCTTTATTTACCTGGCTGGCAAAATGGGGAAAAAAAGGTTCACATCCAAGGAAAGCAAAGCAGCAAACATTAATTACAAGCATTCCAAAGAGGAATGAAACACAGGATTCGTACTAATTATAGTCCTCCAAGGAACAGAATTCAGATTGTTCTCTGATGAGTCTTGTAGCTTCGTCAAGTCATAGCTGGCACAAGATTTAGAAAGCTGGAAAACCTAGGGAAGTTAGGAAAGTAGAATAACCCTCCAGTTGATTCTTTATTGAAATATTCACAGTGGTAAATGTAAAGATAGAAAACCTGTTGATGCATTTTATGATCAGAGCCGGGCTGGAAATGTAGTACCTCATAGAGTTTTTCTCCTCTCTGAGCATTTTAAGAAAAGCAAGAACATAATGCTAATAACAGCTAACAGAATTATGGAACCAATTCCATACAGGGAGTTCTTATGGCAGAGTTTTTATAATCACTAAGTATCCAAATATATTTGCATCGTCTTAATTCAGAATTCAGCAAACACTAGATTTATTCACAGTATCTCCCCTTCAGTGAGTACTCTGTTCACGACAGAAAGAGCTCATAAGCCAATAATATGCACGTAAATTCTACCATGTTTTTCCTTTTTTGGTCTACTTGTAGTTTCTGCTTCTCCCCTTCTTAATTCCTTCATACTCCCATCCCCTCTATTCTCTTTAATGCATATGTGGTAAAAAGAGATCAGAAGAATTATACCATATTAATGTTAATAGTATAATATAAAAAATATCAAACCTCTTCTAAAAGTAGTCCCTGAAGAAATATCAGATGTCAAGAGAATAGAACCTAGAAAATTGAACCAACGTAGTTGACTGAACTAGTAACTAGTGCTCTCTACCTCCTCAACCATAGCTTCTTTAAATGTTTGGAATGATCAAGGTCTTAAAAATCAAGTATTTTTATTTGATATATATTTTGTAAGTTTTAGCTTTTGTGTGGTTACACTGGCCACCAATAAACCATTTATTTTTAGAATGTATTATTCTGGTGTTTGGTATGTAAGTAAGAAAAAAAAAGTGGGGGGGATCAAAAATTTTGAAGAATCTTGATTTGCCAGTGATTAAATTAGCTAAGTTAATGAGGATAGCCTAAAGATAGATTTCTGTTCCACCTCTGCTAGGTAGCATGTTTACAATATATTTGACTACTGTCTTATTCTTATCCCATATCCATAATTCCTTATTGAAAAACTTAAAACTATATAACAGAGATGTTTTTTATAAGTGTACATACATCAAAACCATTTAGCAGTAAATTCTTAATGAACTGGTGTAAGAGTATTTATGCCATTATTTATCTCAACTGTTGTTACTACTTTATAGGTTTTGTTGCAAAAATACTTTTATTTTGTATTAAGAGATTTTATACAGTGTTAACTGAAAATTTCCTTACCCCTGAACAGATGTGGCCCCATGAGTTCTGTGAAGGGGTGATAGATCTGGATATCTCTAGAGAACAAATGTTCTTGATAATTCAGAAATATTTTATATTCTAGATGCATTCGTTCCTTAATTGGAAGACACATTTTTTGTAAGATTCTAATATGGAATACAGGGAAATGTGGGATGCCTCTATTCTGATACTTTGATATATTTTAGATATTTCTTATTTAAGGAAGACGGGAATGAGTTAATTCTGTAAGTAGCATCATGTAGTTTTTCTTTGCCCTCTATCACTCATTAAAGTATATAAAAATATTGTTAATTGAAGGACAAAATAATCAGATTTTGGTTAATGAAGGATTTACTTCACAGAAAACTTCTATTCTCCAGAAATGCTGCTAGCTCTTTTGATATTTAACAGGTGTGATGGGGGAATATGAACCAAAGATTGAAGTGCGTTTTCCTGAAACTATACAAGCTGCAAAGGATTCATCTGTAAAACTGGAATGCTTTGCCCTTGGAAAGTAAGGTTTTTTTTGTTTTGTTTTGTTTTGTTTCTGGTTGTTTAATTTAAAAAAAAAAAAAAAAAAAACCTTTTTGTTTTTCAAACATTGCTGTAAGGTAAATTACCAAATAGATTTCAAATGCTGGGCAAAAGTGGAACTTTCTGATTGGAATTTAAACAAACATGCCTAATACTCTGAAAATGAGTGGGCCTGCAGTTCTCCCCGAATGTATTGATAGTTCCTCTACTTTGAGCATAATGAGTACCATTTAGGCAGCATCTTTCAAAGGATTATGTGTACTTGTATAAGACGGTGAGCAAGTCACTAAAACTTCAACATGCCCTTCACTCCATCTTGTCCTACAGCCAGAAATATATTGCCTGGAGTGTCTTCTTGCTTGATTAATCAGCAGTTCTCTTAAATGAAAAACCTGCAACTGCAAGTTTCCAAAATAAAACTAATTAAAGGCCATTGTTCATAGCAGATCATTAGAATTGAGCTCAACTTGCCCTGTAGTGGAGGCACTTTGTTTTCCGCAGATGAGTGTTTATCAGCCAACAGGTTTGGAATGTGTTTAGGCAGTCAAATATCTGCAATTTTGCATAAAATGTGCAGACATCTCTTTGTGCCAAAAGGCACTATGCACACTTCACTCTTATGCCTGTAAATAAGAGTACCCACGTCAGAAAGAGATGGATGGCTAGACTAGATCTGCTGTTTAGAAACAGGGTGCAGATGAATTAATCACCTGGCGACATGGTTAAACTGAAGTTCTGTAGGTCTGGGGTGAGGCTTGATTTCTCCCTTTCTAACAAGCTCCCAGGTAACGATGACTTTTCTTTTCTATAGAACATATTTTGAATCATAAGAGACGTGACGCTATCAAATTTGAAGGTTCACCTCTAAATACAGTCTATTCTGAAAGCAGGCACCACATTTAGAAAAAGGGATTTACATTACAAATTTGAAAAATGTTTTTAAAGTTTCCATTTTGTTGTTAAGTAAATATACTGAGCAAGCCAAATAATGCTGGCTACCAAATCCTTTTAAGTTCCTTTCTGATGTAGTTTTAGGGTGATGGTGGGGTGGTTCTGTAGCCAACAGCCAAGAAATAATTCTTGAAGATGTCTTTGGTGCGAAAAGGGTGAATTTATTAAAACGTGGGGACAGGAGCCATGGGCAGGAAGAGCTGCCCTGGGGTCATGACTGGTAACTCGTTATATACTCTCAGGTTGGGAGGGGGTCAGGGTAAGTCTCTAAGGTATTTTGGAAGCAAGGTTTCCAGGACCTTGAGGGGCTAGCTGTTGCTAGGGAAATGGCATTTATTACCATTTAGTGAAACCTCAGTCATGACACCCTTCAGATGTGTGTATCAGGGGCCCCATAGCTTGGCATATGATTGTGTATATCTTGGGGCAGTTGAGATAAAGGGAGTAGACTTACAGGATCCTCGAGGTTGGGATAATGTTAAGCTAAGGGTCTCTTTTGCCCCCAGCAAAGTGACATCATGGAGGCAGCTGAGGTCCTAGAGGGAGGTCACTCTGCCGGTCTCAAGGACTTGTCAGCGGGCTATAGGCAGTAAGGGAATTTAATTTTTCATTTGCCTTAGTTTCCCACATCACCATGTCAGGCACCAAACCCTTGTCCCTTGTTCTCGGGTAGCCAGGAGTGTCTGAAGAATATCACACATCCTCCACCTCGGGGGCTGCAGTGCCAACCTGTATTTTGCCCTCTGCTTGCCCCACACTCCCTCATCACTTTCTATATGAAATTTTGTAGATCTTTAAGTTAAATTTCTGAAGGTACTCATTTCTCGTGTATTCAAAATACCATATTTTATTTTCATACAGTATTGGTTCCACAGTATGTGTCCAATAAATAATTATTGACTGATTAAATCATGCATAAGAAAAGGACAAATGGGAACTTTCTGTCACAGTTTTTGTCTTCCTGCCTTTTAAGACATGATAAACTTTCACCATTTTCAAGCTTTCTCCAAAATTAAAGTTTATAAAAAAACATAAAGTGTCAGCAAAATACTTTGAGAATTAGACAATTTACTTAAAAAAAAACAATGAAAGATAGAAACTGAAATTTCATTTATAGCTGATTCTATCATATTTGGCATCAGGGAATATGGATGGATTCCTGTAATTAAAGAAAATATTCTTACATAAAAAAAACTTTGAAAATTATTGAGGCTGGTTCTCAGGAATTTCATATAAATAAATTACCTTTGTTAAACATTTGTTAGTAAGAGTTTAGATTGTATATACTTATATGTAATCTATCTATATGTAATCCTCATAATTATTCAGGGTATCTCATATTTTTATTATATATGAGAAAACTGAGGCTCAAATTGGATAAATAACCTAATCAATTTAAGCTCCTGTTAACACAAGGGCAATTCAAAGCTAGTCACACCTCATTTTAAGTTCTGAACTTAGAATCTTTTGAATAAATGATTAAGATAGTTGCTCGTGAAACCAGTGAAGACAGATTCAATTCCCAGTTTTCTCAAGAGTTGTCTGACTGTTAGCAACATGCTTCTTAAGCTCCACAAATTAACATGTACTCATCCGAGAGGACTTAATGTGATACCAGCCTTTTATGTTTATTTTGAAGGATGAAGTGGATAATACACATAAAGAACATTTAGCATTGAACTTGGTGCTTAGGCAGTGAATGTTCATTGAGTTATTCTGAACCCAAAATTCAAAATCTAGTATCTTTTGTCTAAGCAGTGTTTGAGTTAGTTGGTATGATGGAACTAGAAACAGGTATCTCAGAGGGTACACAAGTTCTCATCACTGCAGCTCATTCCTTTTCTGTCTCATACTAATGCCAGTATAAGGGAGAGCAACAAACAGAGTCAGTTCTGGGGTAGAAAAGAGCAGCGGTAAGGAGAAAACTTAGTCGATTAATAAAGGTTCTGGATTGCTCACATATCAGGTTTCCTAATTTTATTTATTTCTACATTTCATTTCTAAAAACTCAAACCTACAGAAATACTGGAAGAGTAATAACTGCACAATCACTTCAATCATACATATCATTCACCTGAACTGATCAAGTATAAATCTTTGCCACAGTCCCTTCTGTCTCTCTCTATCTCTCACTCTCGCCCCCAGCCCCACCTTTTCCCCTCTCTCCCCTCTTACCACACACACCCATACCCACACCTGCACACAGGCCATGCATTAAAACAGATGGGTCGTTATGTTATAACTTGGACTGCATTTTGGAAAGATATATTTATGGCACTCAAAATATTGCTTAAAATACACACCCAGGTCGCCTGGGTGGATCTGTCAGTTAAGCATCTGACTCTTGGTTTCAGCTCAGGTCCTGGTCTCGCCGTTTGTGAGCTCAAACCCCACACTGGGCTCTGTCCTGGCAGTACAGAGCCTGCTTGGGATTCTCTCTCTCTCCCTCTCCCTCTGCCACTGCCCCACTTGTGCTGCCTCTTTTCTCTCTCAAAATAAATAAATAAAATTTAAAAATGTTTACAAAAAATATCCACACTCAATTTCAAGCTCAGCTTGCTATGAAATGGAGGAGTGGAAGAAAGAAAAAAGGCAGAGTTAGGAAACTTTGACCATCCCATTTAGAGTTCACCATTTGACTTCACTCTTAGGATTCGGTCATGAGTACATACTAAAGGAATACATTGGAAGTAAATGGAAGGAGTAGATTAATAATCGAAACAAGGGAACTGAAGCCTTAGGATATAGGAGATAAATTGTTAAAAAGTCTCAAACGGAATGATTTAGCAATAAGTGAAATCATCTCTTTAACTAACCTCATGGTGATGGAAACAGTCAATACATTAAAACGTGACAGCTAGTGAAACTACATATGGTAAAATTTATTACCTTAAACATATGTGGGAATACCTAAGCTTCCTTATAGTACAAATATAATTCCTTATAGTACAAATATACTTGTACAAATATAGTACAAATATAATTTGTACTAGCAGTATTCGACTCAGGAAAATTTAAGTTGGAAAAATAATAGGTTAAAAAAAAACCCTCGTGGGGCGCCTCGGTGGCGCAGTCGGTTAAGCGTCCGACTTCAACCAGGTCATGATCTCACGGTCTGTGAGTTCGAGCCCCGCGTCGGGCTCTGGGCTGATGGCTCAGAGCCTGGAGCCTGTTTCCGATTCTGTGTCTCCCTCTCTCTCTGCCCCTCGCCCGTTCATGCTCTGTCTCTCTCTGTCCCAAAAATAAATAAACGTTGAAAAAAAAATTAAAAAAAAAAAAAAAACCCTCGTGAAATGTTTAATCTCATGTGTATGTCCAGAAACAACTTGATGGATAAATGGTACATTCATTGTTAAGTTTATACATAAAAGGTTTGTTGCAGAGGAAATAAAATTAAGAAGAATGGGAAATGATGAAGATTACTTAACTGCACTTCATAGAAAATTGTCAAGGAAATAATTCATTTAGTGGAGTATACTCCATAAGATTTTATGTGACAAAATTAATCAATGTTGAGATTATGTTTTGATTATGTTATGATTATGTCCTTGGGGTTAAAACAGAAAGTCCAAAGCATCCTCTGGGTCCAAGTGATAGTGTTAAAATATCCAGTATAAGAAACACATGCTTTGTGTAATTTTAGTGTAGATACATTTCTCATTTCTTCAGATAGACAAAATCTATATGAAAATTTTTGTGTACTTTGCAAAATTATACATATGTATATCAAAAAGAACTTTTATATATGCTTGCCAGCAGTTTTCAGAGAGCAAATTGCATTGCAGTTGAACTAGTGCAAACATACTGAGAATGCTTTTTGGTCCCTTATAAAATTTGATATCTCTCAAATATTTTACCAACTTTTAAAAATTTGCAAATTAATAAACATAAAAAACAATACGTTCTCTTGAAAATTAATTATGTGATAGGCAGAATTAACAATCTGAAAATGTTTAAAATCAAACCTTTACTTCTTAAATTATAAATCTATATTTGCACGTTTATTACAAAGTGTTTTTAGAAACTCTA